CGCTACACCTTCCTCGAGTTCAAGTTCTTCGACCCCGTCGCCACCCCGGACCCCAGCGACCCGGAGGGCCGCGGCGGAACTCTCGGGTTCGGCATGCGGGGCCGCGTGATCGGGAAGGATGATGGCAAGATCTATGAGGGGAAGGTTCAGTACGTTCTCCCTTTCCTTTTTTTGAGAGGGCCTGTGTGGTGGTGTTGCAACAGCCAGTCTAATGACCGCGGTTCGCAGTGGGATCTTCAAGGTGGAATGGGTGCAGGGGCAGGATGGGGGCGAGGATCGCCGTGTGATTACTCGCAGTACTCAGGTGTTGCAGGGGCCGTATGTCATTGAGGAGGAGAGATAAGATGGTTTATTCTCGACTCCTCTGGAAACTTTGAATGAGGGCCTTCCTCTGTCAACGGTGAGGATGATGAGGGGAGAGATTGCTAGGTAGTTTGTGCTGAGAAGCAGTTGAATGCAAAGTATTACTTGTATCGCTCTTTCGATAAGCCAGGCATTAAAGAGGCCTGATGTGCCCCAATTCTTATCCACACTACCTGCCGTAGCACACCTCCTACGCACCACTAGATATGTGGACACTGCCTCCATTTTGACACTTCATGCACGTATTCTTACTAGAGAACCCGAGAGAGCGATAGCATAATGGAGAACAAGAAGAACAAGGGGAAGGGGGAGGAAAGTGCAACGGAAACCTTTTGCGAGTGAGCCTGTGTGCAGTCCACGAAAGTTGTACTGTACTTCCCTAGGCTGAATTGTTTAGGGATAAAAACACATAACTATCTTTCAATTGGATCACTTTTCGATCCCGCCAGACAAAAATAAGTCACGAAAGCTGGCGTAGCTACAGCTGATCCGCCAGAATTTTCTGCGTCCTTGGATGACTTATTTCATCAGTCCGTAGTGCAGAGATGTGGAGACAATATCACCGCATCTATCCGCTAGATTAACAATCGTTATTATTTGGCAGCAAACCGCTACCTTGGACCGGACGCTCGCTACCGTTGATAGAATCTCTCGTCACGGTGGAATCAGTGAGTGCGTGGCTGAAGAGAGTATAGAGCTATGCAGCTGGTCCTGCACTTCAAACCACGACATGATAATCAAACTATGATAACAATCTATCAGATCGGTTGCATTTCGATGTTAATTGTTGAGATCCAACGATCATGGTGACAGTGGCAGCCTGAACTCTGTGTAAGATCATCCCCTTTGTCTCTCGTATCTCTCCCCCAAGATTGCTTGCTCTTCACCGTTGAAATCCCTCTCTCTTCATTCTAAATCCACGCTCAGCTTCTTCACAGAACAGATCAACGCGCAACCCCCCGCGAGCCCTGCACAGAGCCTCCGGAGGTACTCTAGTCAACAAGTCTCTCTTTCGGGTGACCTGTGTCGTCGACTCGCCGGGGTCTTGAGCGCACTGCGACGGACAATCACATTATGGATTTTGTTTACTAGATCGAACGATCGATGGAGTTGACAGTAATGGAGTTGACCGATCAGATAACGCCAGATACCCAAACCCACGTGCACCCATCTCAACACGTACCAGACAACACGTCTGATTTTCCTGCAGCCCTAAAGGTGGATTTTCGTGATACTTTCGACATCTCGCCGGAGCTGGTGATCTGCTTGGCTCCTCCAGAGGCGACCCCTGTCAACGCGTCCCAAGTAGCACGCCCAATGTCTTAGCCTTAAAGGTGGATTTTCGTGATTAGTTGACATCTCGACTCAGCTGGTGATCTGATTGGCTGGGTTGAGGTGAACCCCTGTCGCCGCGTACCAAGTAACACGTCCAGGAAGCGGGACAGCCCTAAAAGTGGATTTTCGTGATGCTTTCGACATCTCGACGGCCGAGATGGCCCAGGGAGTTCGAGGAGGTGGGAGGGCTCGGATAACGTCCCTCTTGGTTATACATATCAGGCCATCGGCCTACATTACTCAGGCCTAACACGAATAGCCCCTGGGACACAGAATAGACAAGCTCCAGTATATCTCGGTTGTGAGCGGCCTGAACTTGAGTGAAGATGGTCGATGTACCGTCCAAGATGTGTAAAGGTCGTATTGAAGTGGCCGAACAAGCAAACGAGCGAGGCTAAAGTGGAGTGCATGAGGAAGCTCTGCTAGGCTAATTTAAATCATTGTCCTACGCTGTTATGGTCACGTCAATTGAATGCTTCCTTCACTGGCTGGGCATTGCCATCGAAATAGGATAGTGGATAGGGTACAGCCGGGAACATGTTGTGCCAATAGCCGATGTTCCCCGATTCGGGGTTGTAATGATTGCTACGTAGTGTAATAGATACTCTCCAGTAAGACTTCTATAGTGAAATGTTATTTCTACTAATAACTGTCTTCAGGCTTTTACAGTACTAACAAGATCAAAAACCTTTAGCAAGTCAGCGTCACTGTAGTCCATGACAAGGTCCGATTTGCGTCCCCGCATTCCTGGTTCCATATTCTGTTCACCTTTCCTCCGCCGCATGTATACACTCAGTTTAAGATTCAGATATCACAAATGCTCCCATGACCGTAGACAGGATGTCTGGCGTGGGTGAGAGAGGCTCAATCATATGGTCTCAAGTGTTACAGGGCTTCCCGAGTAGAACACTAACAGTGGCATCCAGTATGTTCGTGGTAACGAGATCGGGGTAGCCGTCTCCGTTGAAATCGCCCGCCGCTATTCCAGTCGGGTTGTTGCCCACTGCAAATGTAGTCGCAGGTACATGGAAGTTCCCTGACCCCGTGCCAAGCAAGATACTGACAGAGGAGCCCCCAATGTTCGTCACCGCGATGTCAAGATCACCATCCTGGTTGAAATCACCCGTTGTGATAGCCCTCGGGTTGGATCCCACGGAGAACACAGCCTGTGGCTGGAAGGTCCCGTTTCCCACCCCAAGCAAGACGCTCGCTGAGGCATCCAGGGAGTTTGTAACTGCAAAGTCCGGCTGGCTATCCTTGTTGAAATCGGCAACCGTCACACCATATGGGCCAGATCCGACCGGGACTGCAGTTTGCGGCTGGAAGCTTCCGTCGCCGTTACCCAGTAAGATGCTCACCACGTTGCTGCCCTCGTTACTGGCCACAATATCGAGATGGCCGTCTTGATTGAAGTCACCGACAGCCACACCGTCGGGCGTGTCCAGCACGGCATATTGAGCCTGGGGCTGGAAGCTCCCTGCGCCAGTCCCTAGCAAAACACTTACACTGTCTCCATCATGATTCCCCGTCACCACATCCAGACGGCCGTCTTGGTTGAAGTCCCCGACCGCGATGGCCACGGGGCCATCCCCAACGGAGAATTGTAGCGGTGGCTGGAAGCTTCCGGGTCCGGTTCCCAACAAGAGACTGACAGTATTGGCTCCCGTGCCCAAAACCAGATCCAGAATACCGTCACCGTTGAAGTCCCCAACGGCGACCTGAAAAGACGCGCTGCCAGCAGCATAGGCGACCTGAGTCTGGAAGGTCCCCAAGCCAGTCCCGAGCAAGATGCTTACGGTCTCGTTTCCAGCATTCGACACGGCAAGATCGAGATGGCCATCCTGGTTGAAATCTCCCACTGCTACACCCCACGGGAGGTCTCTGACCGCATATATAGTCTGCGGCTGGAAACTTGCGCATGGCGCACAAGTCCCGGATTGACAGGTTGACGGTGCAGGGCACTAGACGCTCGCGGCGGGCAAGAAGCAAACGCCCTCCGAGTTAGTTTCTGTGCGTCGAAACTGCGAACTCCCCTGCGAGGAGATGAACTCACCACGTTGCCACATTCCCCGCAGTGATTGTTATCGGAATCGAAAGAAGGACATGTTTCGTTGCAGAGACCCAAGCCTGAGTTCGTGCAGATGCACACGCCCTGGGAGCAGGTTGATCCGGTCGGGCACTGTGAAAGAATAAATATCGATTGCCGGGAGACTCCGGGACTCTATCCTTAGTCACTCACCACTATCCCACATGATCCACAGTTTTTGCTATCCGTACTGGTGTCCGTGCAGATGCCAGAGCAGAGTTCTTGACTCGTCGCCGTTCGGGCAGGTCCGCAGGTATAACAGGGACCTTGCCCTTTGGCTGCCAATGGCTTGCACGTCTTGTCGAGGTTACGCTGTTGACACCATTGTGCACAGGTACTATTTCTGGTGCCTGGTGCGAGCCCGGCCGTCACTGTTGATAAATGTTAGATCAACGGGGGATTTGCGTACTACGAGAAGAATGAACCAGGATAGGCATACCGAAGGATGTCAGGGCCAGAAGGGCCAGCACCGTTCGGGTCATAGTGTTAAGTATTCTCTTCTCAGGTCGTAATTGATGAACAGGCTGAATGCGATACGCACAGTTTCGGAACACTGGGCAAGCTCACAACCTTTTTCTTTACCCCGGAGACTATTTGCAGGCTCTCTCAAGTATGAGCCTTATTTATAACTCCCTCCGTTAATTCCTCGTCTGGCTCGAAAGTGTCAAATGCTTGGCATGGAGGACATTCCAATCTAGGCCCCAATGATTTGTTCCCATTATCACTAGAGGGCATGTTGTGACAGCTCCAGGTCCACTCACCGATACTCCAACGGAAGGGGTAGTGCTTCAGAATAAAGCTTCGGGATGGTAAAGAATGTTGGGACGGAAGGAGCAACAACCTGAAAATCGATTTACTAGCGGGTTTTCGGGCACAAGGTACTGCGCAGCTCACGTTTTTCCTTCTCCCACATGTCAAGCTAGATTCCTTGGGATTATGACATTGGAAATGCCATTCCCGCCGTACAGCTTCTTTGTTCTCTGCATTCCCGAGATAGCCTCTCCTCCATTCCTACGGGTGGCAGACATTTGTCCGTGGCTCCGACGTGACCATTCGTTGGTTACAACTACCTGGCGGCATTGCTGTCACCTGCCTCGATTGATCAAGCTACAGAGCTTGCAACCAAATGAATAACAGGCTATCTCCCGGAGTCCATCGCTTGGGGGTTGTGGATTGACCGGCTGTATATTCCGCTCGTGCTTCGCACCAGTGTATTCGCGTACCAACAGTCATGATCAGCCAGAGATGGCCGGCGGGTTCGACCCCGGCGACCTCTTTGGCATATCCCGGCCTTCCCGGACAAGAGATCATTATGTTGCTTGCTTCGCTCATCTAGAGATGTGCCTCTCCCCGACGGCCCGGTACCTCCGCGACCTCGGCCTCGATGATCATTTCATACTCCCGCGGATCCGGCCAGAACCTGCAGATCTGCAGGCCCGCATCGGTCAAAAGCCTTCTCCAGTCCGCCTCTGTGCGTTCTGAGGCGGAAAGCAACGACATCATCTGCACATCCATTGTCGCCTGAATTATGCTTGCCTTAGTGGAAGGGAGGACGATGTCGTAGATGAGGAGCTTGGAGTACCCTTTCCTCATTGCATTTCTGGTGTTGGTGAGGATCTGCTTGGCTTTGTTGTCCGGCCAGTCATGCAGCACGGCGTGCATGAAGTAAATGTGACTCCCTGGATTTTATGAGCAATGGATCAGTACTCTTATCCGTTCGATCTTGGGAAGGGTGGCCGGTAAGGATGTCTCTCACCTCTAACCGGCTGCGGCAGGAAGAAGTTATGCGCCATTGCCAAGGTCTTCTCATCGACTTGAGCAGTTCCAATGATCTCCGGGACATCCTGCAACACGAATGCTCCCGCGGGAAGGTCCGGATGCTTCTGCTGCGCGTGTGTTATATCAATCCCGGTATTCCCGCCCACGTCGACCACGAATGCGGTGCCCTCTTCCAGCGGCGACTCGCGCAGCAAGCGGGCGGTGTCATAGACTGCTGTCCACGGCGTCTTCCTCGCGGTCCATGATTCCATGTGGCCTGTGAAGGCTTCGAAGTAGGAGGGACTGGTTCGCAGCCGGGCGAAGAAGCTGAGGCCGTCCGGATCGGTCGCTGCGTAATTGCTTCGCTCGACGCTCGTGGGCTCGCGGTAGCCTATGCTGGCTAGGTAGGTGGGTAGATTCAAGGCTGCGGGGAGGTATTGATATGTCCTGAGAAAAAGACGACAGAACAGAAATATGAGCACAGGCACTTTGCGATATCGATGTCATGAACGGGGGGTTGCTTACCCAGCCTGCAGCGAATCACGGATCTTGGTGGTCTCGTCACCGATCGCAGACGAGAATGGCGTGGGCTTGTATCTGTCTGCGGCAGTCTGCTCCACCACATCGAACGCGGCTAGAAGGCGCAGAAGCCGACCTGTTTATGTTCACTCGTCAGCACTCTCTCGAGCCACACGGACATGGTTACTGGGACACCGAAGGGGAGAACTGGCGTAGGAGATTGGTATCAACGGTCGGCGTCGTCAGATGGACGAGCTCGTCGAGCGACTTTTCTCCACCCCCAGCACCTGTCCATTCACTCCACAGCTGCAGATCAATGCACGTCTGAATCGCGGCGAAAATAATCGGTTGGTCGAAGCACAAGCCCCAGGCTTGTTCGTACGGGAATTCTACCCCTGCGAGGAGGCAACGCGCGGCTGCGCGAAGACGGAGACGATCCACCTCCCCTCTGCCTACTTTGTCGGGTTGGATTTCATCGAGGGATTTGATGATGTCGTCCACAGGCTCGGAAGGCATGTTGCGGTTGTGTGCTTTTGGTTTTGTGAGTGACAGAGTGATGAAGTCGCACTATTGAGAGCTGGGGAGGGACCTAGCGCTTGTAAGGGTCTGGTCTATTTGCCAAGGAGCATGGCACGTTATCGCACGGGCATAGAAGACTTTGCTAAGAGTTTAACACGGGCTGCAATCATTTATTATCCAATGAATGTGGGGTGGCGGTTGATATGACAGCGGGCTACTGGGGCAACTTGCGTCGCTTCCGCCCGTGCGTGCTTGTGCTGCGGAGAAGTGGCTCTTCTGTTGCGAGTAGTGGGCTGACAGTTGCGCTTGGCCGGTCAGTGAGATGTTGTGACGGGAAGCCTTTAACTAGACCAAGCAGGTTAGGGGTTGAGCTCGATATTAGGCGGTACCTTCAAATTGTGCTCAGATGCCTCCTATTTGATTGGATTTGGCGTGGGGCATCTGGGAAGACAATAAGCTAGTTACCTATCACAATATGCGGAGTGCTTGAGGTGTCTGCATGGTAAGTAAGCACTTGTGTCCGGATACTGAGCGTATCTTGTTTGGGGATTGAGGGGAAGAGCCCCTCGGACGAAATGAGGAGGCTTCCAGAGCATGGAATAGTGAATGAAGCTGACTATTCTGGTGTAACAAGCCCCAAGTATCATATGATACAGTTCGAGCCTCAATAACTTGAAATGACTGGTGTCATGTAGTTGTGATTTGGAACACTGCGCTGTTACTCGGATCAGACCAAGAAGCACAATACATAGGTTAGAACTAAAACGCGCAGGACTATTACGAGCCAACCGATGTATGCACTGGACACTATATTATTGTCAGTGCCCCACCATCGAATTAAACGTTAAGCCTGAGCAAAAGTGCTCATTAGCTTGGTAGTAGGCTTACTTTGGAAGGAGCAAACTGGGGTTAATGTAGCGCGCACGGGACAGTAAATCCTTACCAGGCTGGAAACTATCCACCCTTTTCTCGCTCTACATTATCACACCGTACATTTATATAATATAAAGGTATTTGAATTCAGCTAACTGAGGGGGACATGCTACAGCTGGCAGCCCTGAGCCAAGTAGCCAATTGAAGGCCACTCTGTCAAACTGCTTCTTGGGGTGTTTGCCCAGCAATGGGGCACTTGGACATGCTCTTGAAGATGTGTTTTAGACTGTGCTTCGGTCCGTAGACACATGCAATTATGGTATATGAGCTCTAGTACCGTCGCTATGTTGTTCTTTTCATTGGCGCATCTTCGAATGAATAGAGGTGCCGACACACCCGTCTCATACTATAGAACCATGCATCAAGGACACGACGAGTTGCTTCTGAACCGACACGCAAGAACACACGCGTTAGGAACTGCGGCGGTAAGCATTCCATCATCGTCAAATGACTCATCCTCTGCCTGTAACATAGTTCATCGCAATCTCTGCACTCCTCCTCATTCCTGCACTGTAAGTCTCAAATCACTCGGATTTCCTCACCATACCAACTTACATACTATTCTGAAGCACAACAAATTGCTCCTTCCAGTTCATCTCAACCAGCGCACAACCCTCTGGAGAAAGGCGGTTCTTCAGCAGCGGAGATGTCGACACGAAACCCCAAAGACCGTGCTGTCATCAGCACAATCAATAAGCTGGGCTGGGACCTGTTGATCCAGTTCCGCACCAACGACAACGCCCCTTACAGCAACAGCACCCTTGTCAGCGGTCTCTCCACCTTCTCGGCCCTTACTATGCTCGCCGGTGCAGCAGTTGATCCCAAGCAACGCGAGATGTGCGCTAAATTCGGCGCCGGCAGCCTCCGCGACCTGCAAGCCACTTACCCGAGGATGCGCCGCATGCTCGAATCCGACAATGTGTTCCACTCGGCCAACGGGCTCGTGGCTGAAACTCAAGTCTGCCTCTCTCCACAATACCAAGATTATCTGAGAGGGCTCAAGGTGGACGCTAATCTACACTTCCGAGACCTGGCCGACAGCGTGGCTGAGATCAACAAGTGGATCTCTCGGACAACCAACCGCAGGATCCCGTCGTTGCTGACAGCAGACGACCTGCGCGGCTCGGTCGTAGCTCTCATCAACGCCCTGATCTTCGCCGCCGCGTGGGCCGAGCCGTTCCATCCGCGCGACACAGTCCGCTGTGCCCCTTTCTACCCCACGACAAAGAACGGGCTGAAAGCAACTGCCACAGTGGATATGATGTATAAGCACGGGAAGGAGGTGCTCGTCTACCAGGGCGAACGGTACACAGCCGTCCGCCTGCCCTACCACTGCACACCGCCATCGGAGTGATCGATGATTGCCTACCTACCCAACAAAGATACCCCGATTCAGGAGATGCTCCAAATCCTGCGTACCCGGCGAATTCCCTCATTGGAACAGCATCGAGTGGGCAGGCTCGGTCTGCCTCGGTTCCAACTTCAGGTGAAACATGAGCTCAACAGCACGTTGCAGGCGCTGGGATTTCCGATTGACGGGTCTTTCCCAGCTCTAGATGCGGGAGGAAACGATCAGGTGGGCAACATCATTCAGGGTCTGAGTGTGGAGTGTAATGAAAAGGGCACGGTGGCCGCCGCAGCTACAGCGGTAACGTTCGAACGCGGTGGACCTCCCCCTTATATCCCTGACTTGATATTCGATCGCCCGTTTGTGTTTGCCATCGTGGCAGATGAGCTGGATTTGGCCATCTGTACGGGTCTGTTTTCCGGTTCTTAAAGGTTTTGTTTTCTTTCTTTTGTACCTTGCTCTCTTTGATCCCAACTTCCAAGCTTTCTTTTTATCTGTCTGTTCTCTCTCTTCATGGTCCGTCTGAATGCACTGTTTGCCTTGTTTCGTCACCGAGCTTTCCCCCCGTAGTCAACGTAACCTAGTACCAAATCGTTTTTGAGCTCGAATTGCTGAAAGTCCTTCATTTCGCTCCATCACAACTGGCCTAAAATGTGTCCAAGGGGTAGTCACAGAAAAGACTGCCTAGCCTAGCCTTGCGTTGACTTCCTACTCCGTAGTCTCCATGATCCACCCGTCTCAGCCTCACGCTGCGCCACACCCGCGAAAGAAAAGTGTTCCGATCTTACAACCCACCGCTCCATACCAGAGTGCTTAAGTCACTCCCGCTCAGAATGAACTTTTCTGCAGATACTCCGAGTCGAAAATTCCTGCCTCACCCGCGGTGAGCCAGATAATTGTACCTGAAAAAAAGGATGGGTTTCGACTTCGGCGTCGGCGACTTCCTCGCCGCGCTGCAGTTCGCCAAGACACTAGGCAGGCGCTTCGTCGATGCGCCGAATGAGTTTCAAGCACTGTCCCAAGAGTAAGTATGCACTCCATCATTCCAATCCTTCACGCAGTTGAACAGAACCTGCATCGCAAAAATTAATTCTAACAACATCCGGTCCAGGGTACAGCGCCTCTCTACTGTTCTCCAGGCCATCGACGACCTAGACCCACAGGATGCGCCTGAAGATCGACAGAAACAACGACTGAACCGAATTTCGCGAGAGTGTGGAGATGCGCTGGACGAGCTTTGGCGGTTTTTGGATCAGTATCAACAGGTCAATCGGGATGACGAAGAGCGCTGCGATGCCGGTACCCGAACGCGCACGTCTCGCTCCCTGCGGGTATGGAAGCAAGCTCCATGCAATGCGACCGAGACACGGGAAGTTCAGAAAAGGCTGCAGGCGGTAATAGATTGGTTTATGGATTTCTGGTTGGTGTGAACGTGTAACCAGAGACTACCGAAGCAGGGTTTACTGCTCCCAGCATCCAGGCGCGGGAGAGTGGACTTTCTGGACGTCATGATCCGAGACGGCACGTTGACGAGTGTATATGATTGGATGAACAATGCGTTGGATATTTCCGAGTTCTTTCAGCTTCTCGGCCACATGCAGCCTCAGATGAGAGCCCTGGAGATAGGGGCGGGTACCGGAGGCTTAACGGCCAAGGTTCTCTCCAATCTGCGGTCGGCGTACGGTGAGCGGCTCTACCTCCAGTATACCTTCACCGATATCTCTTCAGGCTCCTTTTCGGCAGCGAGGAACCGGTTTCAAGATTACGAGACTATCGAGTATAAAGTGCTGGATATCTCGCAGGATCCGCTTGAGCAGGGTTTTCAGGGCGAGGTATATGACCTCATTATCGCTTCCAATGTGAGAGACTGCTACTGCGAGGCAGTACCCTCCCATGGCGTTTGGCCTACAGGATTCTCGGCTGATGTCTTCTTGATATAGGTCCTACATGCAACTCCCTGTTTGCATGACACGCTTGTGCAGGTCAGAAACCTACTCAAATCGGAGGGACGGCTGTTTTTGCAGGAGCTTTCACCAGGTAAGTCATCCCAATTCATTCTCAATGGTATCCTTCTAACATTCACTGTCACAGTATTTCAGAGTATGGCTTTCGTCATGGTACGTATACCGTCTTCAATATGTTGTCCGAGCGAGCAATGACTGACCTGCCATCCAAGGGTCTTTTCTCGGGCTGGTGGCTTGGAGCCGAGGACAGCCGTGTCAATGCGCCTTTCATCTCCCCGGAAGAATGGGACACCAGACTACGTGCGGCCGGTTTTGATGGATGCGAGACAGTTCGACTGGACAATGAAAGGCCGTACCACATCAATGCCAATATCGCGGCTCGATCCGCGTCGGACTTTGTGTACCCCAAAACCATGACCCTGCTTTCCGGACCATGTTCCATTCACCCACTGGCTCTCCACGTGGGAAGCTTGCTCCAGCAACGAGGCTACCAGACCCAGCACCGGTAATTGAGTGATGTTGAACAGCAGCCTTTTCTGGAGCAGGATTTGATATCCTTCCTGGACCTTGACCATCCCTTCCTGCAAGCCCCCAGCCAAGCGGACTGGGACCTTTTTCTGCAGATGGTTCAGAGGCTGCAACAAAGCTCAGTGCTTTGGTTGTCATCTCTGACGCAGATGCAGGCACAGGATCCGCATGAAGCACTGATTCTCGGAATGACTCGGACCATCCGCTCGGAGCTCGCGATGCCTCTCGCTACTCTCGAACTAGAGTCTCATGACAGTCTGGCAGCGGCAGATGCCGTGGTGCGCGTCTTCATGCAACTGCAACGTAGCAACGAGGCAGGGGCGGACGACCTGGATCCTGACATGGAATTCTGCTGGGCGAACGTTGCGCTGCATGTGGGCCGGTATCACTGGTACCCGGTAAAGGAGGCCTTGCGGGGACCAATCACAGAGCCGGAAACCAAGGCTCTCAGGGTGAAGAAAAGAGGATTGCTTCAGTTTCTGTATTGGAGTGGAGGCACGCTGCCCGAGCTTGCAGCCGACCAGGTACAGATTCGAACGCAAGCGGTGGGAATGAACTACAAGGACGTGCTCATGGCCATGGGTGTGGTCGACGGTGGCTTGCCGAATATCGCCCTGGGAAAGAAGGGCGCGGGATACGTCACCAAGGTCGGAGCAGATGTCGGCCACCTACAAGTTGGAGACAGGGAGCTCTATCTCAACAACACCACATCCAGTCTGGCGACGGAGGCACAAACCTTGGGGCGCCTTACTGTGCGGATCCCCGACACCCTCGGCTTCGAGGATGCGGCGACCATGCCGGCGGTCTACGTGACGGTGCTCATTGCACTGGTCGATAAGGCACGGCTCGAGAACGGGCAGTCCATCCTCATTCACTCGGCCGCGGGCGGCATTGGCATTGTGGCGATCAACGTGGCTCGCTAGCTGGGGCTAGAGATCTACTGCACGGTCGGCTCAGAGCCCAAGGCGGCGTTCTTAGTTCGCGAGCACGGAATCCCCCGCGATCGGATTTTTTATTCGCGCAATGCCAGCTTCCAAGACGACATCATGGTCGCAACCAATGATATAGGCGTTGACTGCGTGCTAAATTCTCTCTCTGGCGAGTTGCTACACGCATCGTGGCAGTGTGTCGCGGCGTGTGGCTGCATGGTGGAGATCGGGAAACGGGATATGCTCGGTCGGGGCCAGCTGGCTCTCGACCGGTTCGAGGATAACCGCGCCTACATTGGCCTCGACCTGGCACTGTCCGTTGTCGCCGCCCCGGCGCAGGTTAGCAGGCACATGAAGCGCATGCTGGACCTTTACGCCGATGGCCATATTCGGCCCATCCACCCCGTTACCTTCTACGATGCCCACGATGTTCAAGAAGCGTTTCGATACATGCAGACAGGCTCCCACATTGGAAAGGTCGTCATCCGGATGTCGGAGGACACCAACCGTGCGCTACAATGGCGGCCGGAGACTCCCAAGCCAAGCTTCCGCCAAGATCGAGCGTATCTTCTTGTTGGCGGTATGGGAGGCCTGGGTAAGGCGATTGCCACGTGGATGGTCACCCACGGTGCGAAGCACCTCATCTTCCTGTCGCGCTCCGCGGGAGCGTCAGAAGAAGACCAGGAATTCATCCATGAGCTGAGCCTGAGGGGGTGCGCAGTCCAAGCTATAGCCGGAGATGTTGCCTATTTCGACACCGTGCAGAACGTGATCGACCGGGCGCCGAGGCCGATTGCCGGAGTCATGCAAATGGCGATGGTGCTCTGCGACGTGGGCATCTTGGACATGACCGTGGACGACTACCGCACCCCTCTGCGGCCCAAGGTGGACGGCACTTGGAATCTTCACCGGGCGCTGGGTCCGTCCAACGAGGATCTAGACTTCTTCGTAATGTTTTCCTCGGTGGGTGGCCAGGTCGGATACTGGGGGCAGGGCAACTACGCGGCAGCCAACACATTCCTCGACGCGTTTGTGCACTATCGACATGCGCAGGGGCTCCCGGCCTCGGTGCATGACATCGGCGCTATCAATGACGTGGGGTTCATCAGCCAGAACCCTGCAGTGAGAAGCGCGATGGAGGCGGGCTCCGCCCGGCTGTTCACAGAGCAGGACTTCCTCGACACGCTGCAACTAACCATAAGTCGGTCATCGGCCCGACCGCCGTACGATGGCAGGCCGCCAGGCACCGCAGCGAAACTAGGACAGGTCTTCCACAACCCCAGCCAGGTGTCTCAAGTAATGGAGTCCCGACTGCCCATCACGCACCCGGATAACCGCATCATCTGGAAGCGCGACCCACGGATGGCCATCTACCGCAACATCGAGACTGTCGCCGCGCAGGGTGAGGATGCTACGGGGGGCGGCAGCGGCGGCAGCAGCAGCAGCAGCATGCTCAAATCCTTCCTCGCGGAGGTCAGCACCGACCCGGCCCGACTCCAGCAGCCGGCGGCCGCGGAGTTCCTGGCCGGGGAGCTGCTCGACCGCGTGGCGGACTTCTTGATGCGCAGGGCAGAGGACGGCGCGGAGCCGTTGGATTTGGACATGTCGCTCACGGAAGTCGGGGTGGATTCGCTGGTGGCCATCAAGCTGCGCAACTGGTGGAAGCAGGACCTCGCGGTGGAGGTGTCGGCGTCGGAGTCGAAGAGTGGGGGCAGTATATTGGAGTTGGGGGAGTTGGCGGCGAGGAGGCTGCAGGAGAAGGTGTTGGGCAATGGGCAAAGATAAGATGATGCATTTGAAGGACTTGGTGCGGTCCGTCAATTTCAGAGAACAGTATTATGTCTTGCATTTCCTCCTAATGATCGAACTTGATATATCTTTGCATATACGCTATCCCTATTCGAGCGCCAACCATCTTTATTCACTATCTTGAGCTGGAGTTCAGTCTTTGGATAGCCTTTGTGGTATTTGTCTCTGCTCTTGGTCTGGTACGCTGCCTGAGGTGGGAGTTAAGTAGACTGGGAATTGGATTGGTGAACAATCTTACGTATAACTCGGTGGAGGTGTTGGTGCCCGAGTGGTGTCGCTGTGATGTCGTTGGCGTATGGTGCAGCTGCGGTGATATATATTTTTTTCTGATTCTAGCGGAAGATACCGACGAAAAGATTCCATGGTATCGAAACAGGTGCAACTAACATTGTTTGGTCACGTACACTGAGATGAAGTCAGCTATCTGTTGATTACTCAATCTATTATCTTTTCAAAAGTTGTGGGCAAAAAACGTGTAAGCGGATCCCTGGGTTCATGCGTAGGGGGAAGGAATTAGTGCTTACATCCCCGTTCGCAGCTTGTGTCGGTTGACTATGCAACGCCTGATTCAGACATTGTGTTCGGTATAGACACTCCGCCAACTTCACCGAGCACATACGACCACAGGGTGTGGAAAACAGGGCTTCCCGTCCGCTCAGCCGTACTTAAGCCACACGCCGGGAGGTTAGTAGTTGGGTGGGTGACCACCAGCGAATCCCTTCTGTTGTATGTTTTTTCCTTTTTGTTTCCCTCTCCTCCACTACTTCTGCCTGGACGTTGTAGGTTGTGACATAGTTAAGATCATATATGTTGTACTTTTATGGGGTAGAGGGTGCTGGGCAGGCAGTGGATGCGGCACCTGCGGCCACAGCAGGTTGTCATGGTCGGATGTCTATGTGTGTGGTCTTACCATCGTCCAGCCAAGACCCTTCTATACTAGTTCCTGTAAGTCACATAACTTTACTTCTGAAGGGAAAGAAAAGCTTTATTATATAATTCATTCTTCGTATCATCTCTATTATGTACTTGTTTTGGTTGGTCGAAATAACTAACTTCCTTGTTCAATTCTTAGCTACATCTTTCGTCACTATATTAAAATGTGGAGTAACCCGGTAAGCTTTTCTTTCACCGTCGAAGTCCCAAAGCTTACCGGGAAGACATATCTCCCTAACCAACACTCGAGCGCCCCCGATTCCGCTCTTGACATAATTCTCATTTGAAAGCCGATGCTGGCCCGCTCAATTAATCTTCGACCGCAACAACAATGTGACCGATGCCGCGGGAGACACACGCCAACATCTCGGACTTCTGTTCCGATTCCGTCAAGGCGGTGCCCCGGTGCTGCACCCTTCCGCAGCGAACGGGAATCCTGCAAGCGCCACAGTTGCCGACTTCACAGGAACTACCGATCTCGAACCCCGCGTCTCGCACGACCTCGAGGAGCGACTGCTCGGCGCCAACCTGCAGCTTCGCCTTCCGATCCGGGGAGATGACCTCCACTGTAAAGGGGTCACCGGGGGTAGTATCCCCTTGGAAGAGCTCGTAGTGCACTTCCTCCGGAGCCATGTCAACCGCCGCGGCGGTCTGAACCACGGCATCGATCATGCGCTGGGGCCCACACACGTAGACGTGGCTGTTCCAGATCCGGCTGCGCAGGATGGCGGCAATGTCCACGCGTTGGCCCTGGGACTTGTCGTACACGGTGACCCGGGGCTCGAGGTCGGCCAGCTGGGTGGCGAAGGCGACGTCCATGGCCGTGCGCACCGCATAGTGGAGGTGGTAGTCCTGGTTAGTGTCCTGGAGTCGTTTCATCATGGCCAGGAGGGCGGTTATGCCAATGCCGCCGGCGATGAAGATATGATGCGAGGCCATCTTGTCGAGGGGCAAGCCGTGGGTGATCTCCGCCACCTCGACCGTATTCCCGCGTCGGAGAGACTGGTGGATATAGCTGGATCCGCCGCGGCTGGTTTCGTCGAGGGCCACGCCCAGCACAAAGGAATCCATGTGGCCGTGGACGATGGAGTAGGGGCGGCGTACGCCGTTCGGAAGCTTGATTAGGGCATGGCTGCCGGGCGGGATGGCGGTGGGCGCAGACCTCGGGGATCTCGGGGATACTGCTTCCAGCTCCAGGCGGACGATGCGGGGCGTTTCCGCCGTATGGCTGGTGACCCGGAACTTCCTCCATGGTGCTGGCGGACGCCGGGCCGCCGCCTCCTTCGCCTGCTGGTTTTGCCAGCGGTCGACGAACACGTTCCTGCACTCGTCGCCGATCACCTTGATGGCCATGAGCTCCTGCGTCACCATCATGTCCGTCTTGTCCCGATGCACGTAGTGGTGCAGCCGCGCGATCGACCACCGCGGGTGGCTCCGCCGAATGATCCGGATCTCCATTCCTTCTTCGATCCAGCCTTCCTCCAGGACCCGGTAGTACCATCCGGTCTTGGCCTCCTGGTGCGTACGCGGCGCGAAGTTCTTGATCCCGAAGCGCTGATTCAGCTTGAAGCACGGCTGGCGCGGCAGGCTGACCTCGAGAAGACAGCCATTGCTTCCGCCAGTACCGGAAGAGCCCGGAGGGCCAATGCGCACCCAGTCCCCTATACAGACGGTGCGCTCATCCCAGCCGTCCGCGACGAGGTTCTCGCCAAAGCCCCCGGGCACGAAGCGCGCGCGCACGTCGCGCGCGGGGAACCGGTCTGCCCAGTAGGAATAGTGATCCACGCAGTACTGGTGAATGGCTTTGTCGACACCCCCGTGGAAGGTCAGATCATGCTCGTCGTCCTCCAGGCCGATTGTCGAGACGTAGACTTGACCACGGTGGGGTTGCTTGTCGATCCCGGAGAGAACGGGACCAAAGGGACGGAGCTTGGAGGTGCGGATTTGTTGAAGGAGGGTGGGGGGCGGAATAGGAATGGGTGACAAGTCGATGCTGGTCATGGCGTGAGTTTGTTATACCTAGGCTTGTTAAAGGTACTTTGCATTTCTTCTCCGATGGAAGGGTTGTGGAGGACTGGCAGCTTCCTCTTTATACTGGCTCTCAAATCAAAATCCAACTCTACGGACCATGCGATAGATACTAGGTTTTAAGAACGGCCCCGCCATCGTTCCCGCTCACCGGACCGGGACTAGCGTCGGTCCACATTTCGTTTCCCCCGTTCCCCGACTGCGTATCATTGTGGTTGACAAATGGTAAAAGAGATCGTGGAGCACAACACGAGAAATTCGCAGCTTGTTATAAAATCTGGTTGAGGATTGTTTCAATGGTTGTACGTGCTTCGTTAGGGCAGTCTTGCTTGCTGGTATAGCCCAACTAGAAGTCTTGAGATGCTTGTCTCTATCAGCACTCGAAACAGCTAAAACGGGGTTTCATCTCCCACTTGAGCGGCTTCTTAAGTCGAGAGCATCGAAAATGCCATGGATGTTGTAAACTCTTGAGCGGAAGAAGTAAAAAAAGTCGCAGGGCGAAGTATTCCCATTTTGACGCCATACAACTGATGGTGTTTCGTTTGAGATGCGGGATGGTATACGGAGGGAAAAGAGGGGGTTTTGTTCTACTCGAGAAACATAAAATGATCCACATTGTGTGCGAAGTGTAGTCTCCTGTATTTAATTGCAGACCTAGAGGCATTCGAGGATAAGATAGTGAAGTTAATCTGAGAGGAGTGAAGCGTGACTAGTCGATCACCCGCGAATTGCGCGACGGAAGGTGAGAATCCTGGGTGCTTAGGCAGTCCCGCCATCCTCGCTCATTGTCCAATTCACATATATTCTGCGTGTAGGCATCTCTCATGCCTACTTTACTTGCTCTCCCGGTCCTGCTTGATGAGGTCTGCGGCTCTTTCCGCGAATGCGTACACAGTAGCTTGCAGATTCGCTGTGCTTACGAGCGGGATAGCACTCGCATCCACAACCCGCAGGCCTTCAACACCATAGACCTTCAATTTGGGGTCCACCACTCCGTCCTTCTCGCGAGGCAGCATGGAACAGGTCCCCGCAAAGTGCCACATGGAGACTAGGTTGTCCTGAGCATACTTCTTTGCAGCATCTAAGTCCCCCTGGAAGTCTGCATCTGGGTCTCGGAACTTCAGTGGCTGTTCGAGCAGCTCCCCAAGCTGAGGTGACTCGGCCAAATTCTTGATACGGAGCAAGTGTCGTGCCATGACTTCCAGATCGAGGGGATTTGACAGGTACCCAGGATCAATGATTGGAGGCGTCTCAGGGTTGTTGCAGGTACTTGAGTTCTTTTCGTCAGATCTGATGAATATACAGTCTTTGAGGGGGCGAGAGGTATGGGAGGGTAGCATGTGAAATGGGAAGAATCGGGAGTAGAAATTAACTTTCACAAGCTTCAACTGGGAAAAAGCAAACAGAAAAGAACAATCACTTACATATGAACGCTTCCGCGGGAAAGCGGTTGAGAGAGCATGACTCCAAGCGTCACGAACTTTCCAGGCGAAGCAGCTGGAATAATCCCGTCCTTGAGATCTTTGGAATAATTCGTCTGCCCCAAAGCGGACAGGTACGCAGCTGATGGTTGCTTGGGATCAAGAACGGTGGTCTTGGCGATGTCAAAATAGGCTTGTGTCGCCCTGTGCTGGCAGTTCCCAGGGGCCTTGTTCGTGAATAATGCCTGAAGAGCACTTCTATCCAGTTCGGGAAGAGGCAAATCGGCGTAGGTATGAACTCCGAGTGATGCTAAGGGCCCAGATTGCGTGACGGCGTATTCCTGCATTGCTTGACTAATGGCTTCAGGCTCTTGTCTGACCAGAGAGTCCTTGGTCTCAAGTTCAGGCTTTGCTTGGAATGCGGTGTACGATATCATGTGATCTAGAAATAGTAGATGTTAGTTCTCAACCCAAAGCGAGTATCCGTGTTAAAAAGAGAGATGGTTTCAAGTTCTTCAAGAGCCGGTGCTGGATTGGGTACTGTCCACCTACCCTGGAGATTCTGCCCAACCCCCGGAAGGTCCATGACTACATCAATGCCATGCTGTTCAAGAAGGTCTGCTCTACCAACTCCTGAAAGTTGGAGGATCTTAGGTGACTGAAAAACACCAGCAGC